ACACCGTCGTGTGTGTGTGTAGCTCGGAGCTCTGCTCCCTCGCCTTCAGCATAGCTGAGATCCATGGTCACAAGCCTGCTCGACGAGCTGTTGGAGTGTGCATTCCAACCAACTCGTGCCGACTCGGAATTGAATTCGGTATTCAATGCCACATTCACCGCCTCTTCAAATGAAAAGAATGCACACCGAAGACTTCCATTCTGGCCACACCAGTGCAGAGGCCTTCCGTATACACGGTCACTGTGACCGCCTCTGGAATGGGATCTGCTGCCATCCCGTCAATGAGAGTACGCATCTCTTGGATAAAGTTCTTGTTGCACTGTCGGGTGGCAAGGAAATGCGCTCGCACGCAATATGCCTGGTTAGGCGGCAAGAACACTCGTGAGAGCTGCAATTTCAGCTCCTCCCAGGAGGGAAACGTTGCTTCAACCGAAGTGCCGCATGTCAGTGCCCATTCTCGCGTCGACCACCGAGCTTTGAGATTGCTAGCGCCACGCGCTGTTGCTTGGTCTGGAGCATGGTGAATGCGATGGCCATCGCGACCTCTCGCGCCCAGAGCAGGAGATTCTCGCCATCGTGCCCATCAAAGACGTTGTAGCTCACCATGAGCGGCTTAGGGCGGGGAAAATCATCCGTCACTGACGCTGGCGTCATAGACGCAAATGATATAGACATTTTCTGCTGCAGGTGCTCCAGCAGCGCGTGTTCGTAATTTGAGAACGCCTCTAAACGCGCATCGATTGTCTCGGGTCCTTGCGCAGCAAGGTGTTGCACGCCCTCAGGGCCAAGCAAGGACATCAGCTTTTCAAGCCCGCCCTGCATGCCCTGGGGAGAAGAGAAAAATTGTAACATCCTCACGGAGGATCAGTCTAAACGACTCAGGTGTAGATTGACTACTGGTTCTACCAAGTGCAGCGGGCGGCTGTAGCTTCGTGCTTAAATAAAGCGTAGGATAGGTCACCGTCCTTTTGTTCTATACTTAGAAAAAATACGAATTTAGCGGATCGCAATCCACTTACTCCAAGATTAATGACAGCTCTAACCCAAGGCTAGCTAAATCTTCCGTTTAAATCCAAAATTGACTTTATTTATTTTTATCTGCGTCAAAGCCGCCTAATTTCAAATGCATAGATTTTTCTAATATGCATAGTATAATCTAAATACATGTAAAACTACTGGCTATCCAGCCCTATACCGTATTCTTGTTTGGGTGTGGTCACACCATGCCCATCTGGTGTGATACATACCCTGTTACCAGGGTATGTGTAACTTCGTTACAGATAATCTTCGGAGCACTCGGGCGAAGAGACCTCGGTATTTAACCTAGTTGCCATTACCCATTGAGTTTGCGTTCCTCCACAGAATTTAACTCCACTTACCATATATGCTTTGGTAGATGTTACGAGGTTACACGTACCCAGAGTGTAACGGGGTAACAGGTACCCTTGTATGAAAAGGGGGGTCGCACAAGATGGTGTGACCGTACAAAGGTGTGGATTACACAAGTCGGTGTGGCTACACCGTAACAAGAATATGTGGCGGACTGCCAGTTGTTATGCACATCAATAAGATTTGATTTTTTAATCAGGAATACATGAACTTCTAGGTAAAGGCGGCTCTGCCGCAAATATAACAATCAAATACAGTTTCAATTTTGAACGGAAGAGCAACTTTGCCTTGGTTAAAGATTTCAAGTACTCTTGGAGGTAGCGGACTGCGATCCGCTACACTCGTACAGGTTCTGGTAGAGAACGTACGGTCGGCGACCTCCAAAGAGCTACGTCAGCCCCGCTGCACTTGGTAGCACTCGTAGTCAATCTACGCCTGAGTCGTTACGACTTATCTGAAGTAACTTTCCTATTTGCCTAGGGCATGCAAAACAAGCTTGATAAGCTGATATCCCTGAGTGGTCATGAGGGCGTGGATCACCTTTTTCCGCAAGATCCTGAGGCGATAATTGCGCGCCAAGAGGCGTTTAAAAATGCTCTGTCGAAGCACCTACTGTAGAAGCTGTCAGCGTCGACAGCGTCCATAACGCCACCGTCGACGGATGCCTCTTCACGACCCAGGCCGCTCATGGTAAGCGTGAAGACTTTCGAGGATAATGATGGAGAGAATCTCCTACTCTAAGAGAGGCCGAGGTGGCTATGGCATCCGCCATGCTCCAGAACGAGCAACAGCGCGTGGCGCTAGCCAACTCTAAGCTCGGGGGCCGAGCGTGACAATGGGTACTAACGTGCGATGCTTCGGTTGAAGCAACGTTCCAGAAGGAACGTTGCTTCAACCGAAG